TGAGACTGATTTCTGCCCCCCCCCCCCCTGCACCTGTCCGCCCTGCGCTTCTAACTTACCCCCCCCTCACACTACCCCCCCCCCCCCCGCTCAACACTACGGGGTTGGACTACTTGGGTCGGCAAACAGTGTACCCTTGAAAGGCCATCCGCGTTGCCATGCTTGATTCCAGACCTATGTTGTACTCTGAAGAGGAAGGGTTGTAGCAACAGGAACCACCTTGTCACTCTTGCATTTCTCTCTTTGTTTTGGTGCATCCACTTCAGAGGGGCATGGTCCGTGACAAGAGTAAACCTCCGTCCGAGTAGCTAGTAGCAAAGGCTTTCTACGGCCCACTTTACTGCCAGGCATTCCTTCTCTACTACAGCATATTTACGTTCCCTGGGCAGGAGTTTCCTACTGAGGAACAGGACTGGGTGTTCTTCTCCAACCATTTGTGAAAGAACCGCTCCCAACCCAACCTCAGAGGCATCAGTTTGCAAGTAAACAGTTTCTCCCAGTCTGGAGCTACCAGCACTGGGTCAGTGCAGAGGGCGGTCTGCAGATCTGCAAAAGCCTCCTCAGCCACACTAGACCATCTTACTATGTCTGGGCCACCGGCTTTTGTTAGATCTGTTAATGGGCATGCCCTGGTAGCAAAGTGGGGGATGAACCGCCTGTAGTATCCAACCAGCCCCAGGAACACTCTGACCTGTTTCTTCCGGACTGGTCAGGACCAATTCTGTATTGCCTCTAACTTGTTGAGTTGGGGCTCCACCACACCCCTCCCCACTATATATCCGAGGTATTTGGCTTCTGCTAGCCCAATTGCGCATTTGGAGGGATTTGCAGTCAGCCCCGCCTTCCTCAGGGTGTCCAGGACTGCTTCCACCTTCCCCAAGTGCGTCTCCCCGTCTGGGCTATGTATAATGACGTCATCGAGATAGGCGGCCGCATACTTGCCATGTGGACACAACAGTTTGTCCATGAGCCGTTGGAAAGTTGCAGGAGCCCCATGTAAACCAAAAGGGAGGACAGTGTACTGATACAGTCCCTCTGGTGTTGAAAAGGCCGTCTTCTCTTTGTCGGCCTTGGCCAAGGGAATTTGCCAATAAGGGTGGACAAAAATCGTGCTTTTCCCAGTCGGTCAATTAGCTCATCTATTTGGGGGTGTAAGGTGCACATCAAATTGGGACACTTCATTCAGTTTCTGGAAGTCATTGCAGAACCTCATACTGCCATCAGGCTTAGGTACTAGGACCACTGGGCTTGACC